CTTTTGTATCTCGTCTGGACTAAAACTTACTGTTGCTACTTTTTCGATACCAAATGTTTTCACACGTTATGTATCGTAAGTTTTGCTGTTTTCATTTCCAGGAGGTTTTTGTAGATCCCTGAAGTGCTTCTTCATCGGACGTATACCATTTTTTTTATTGGAAAGGCTTGATGTTTTGACGAAGACATTTTGTTGTAATCGATCTATCGTTATTGCTTTGATGGGGCTGATGCTGTTGTTTATCAGCTCTTGCCACATAAAGATATCGTTTTTATTTCGCAGATTTCCTCGAATAAGCAGATCTTGGAAAGTTTCTTGGTGTTTTTTTCTTGTTCGGGTTGAATTCGAGTCCAGGAACAGTGAACAATTTTCCTTGTAGTCGTTTTTGAATAGGATCGGATACAACTTTGAGGACACGATCAAGCAATTATAATCAATGTTGTAAACCATAGAATAAGGGATAATTTTCAACCGCCTTTTCCTTATCTCATGCTACTATGTAAGTCATTTCAGAAATTTTTGTTTTAGCCAAAGTTTTTCGATTCTGGAACTATAGACTTAGTGTCAGCTCCCTACTTCTAAACTCATCGCTCGTGTTAATTCCTGGTCTCTCTTTCCTAAATGGCAGCGCCTCTAATGTAAGTAACTTAATGCTGCTGGGAGCCTGGTCGATCATCTTCCAATCAAACTCCGATTTACCACTATTACTACCACACTGCCTTACATGCTCTCCAAATGGTGTGTTCTCTTTTCGATGGTTCCAGAATCGGAAAATTTTTGCTAGAACAAAAATACTGAAAAAACTTACATGTTAGCATGAATTTAGCTACGAAAAAAATATGAAAATGTGGCTAAATGAATAAAAATTGTTACATAAAAGCTGTTACAGAATTTTGGTAAAAAATTATGAAGTTGTGATTGGATATTTTTGTAAATTTTGAAATAATGACGTGTATGACACTTTTCATGATATTTGATCTTTTTTAACAGATTAGTTCAGATTTTTAAAACCTGAAGATGCACAAAAAAGTGCAAAATTATTTGTTCTCAAATTACTTAATTGTTTTTGCCTCTCGATTTGCTTTTGGTTTTTCATTTTCCTAAGTCTCGAACGCGTCTCCGAAACAGGGTTTCAGATTTTTCCCTAGTTTCCTTATAATGTTTTTTGAATCTGTATCTCAAGGATAGAGGAGGGATGGGCTTTTGTATCTCGTCTGGACTAAAACTTACTGTTGCTACTTTTTCGATACCAAATGTTTTCACACGTTATGTATCGTAAGTTTTGCTGTTTTCATTTCCAGGAGGTTTTTGTAGATCCCTGAAGTGCTTCTTCATCGGACGTATACCATTTTTTTATTGGAAAGGCTTGATGTTTTGACGAAGACATTTTGTTGTAATCGATCTATCGTTATTGCTTTGATGGGGCTGATGCTGTTGTTTATCAGCTCTTGCCACATAAAGATATCGTTTTTATCTCGCAGATTTCCTCGAATAAGCAGATCTTGGAAAGTTTCTTGGTGTTTTTTTCTTGTTCGGGTTGAATTCGAGTCCAGGAACAGTGAACAATTTTCCTTGTAGTCGTTTTTGAATAGGATCGGATACAACTTTGATGACACGATCAAGCAATTATAATCAATGTTGTAAACCATAAAATAAGGGGATAATTTTCAACCGCCTTTAGATGCAGACCGTCAGTTCTTTGGACAAAATATCGTAAAAACAATTAAATACATCAAATTCCTCTAGCTCACATCATCTCAAAAGACATGGTTTGAACAACGGTAAAGGATATCATTTCGGAGGGAATTGGAAATGTATATCAGGAACGCTTTCGCCCAATTGTGCATCATCAGGTTTAAAAGTCTTCTCTTTTTATAAAATGATCACCGATCACAAAAATATCCTAAGATAATGGCTATTCGAAATAATGAAAGTTCAACCAATCAGAAGTTTATAAATTTGAATTTTGTGCCAAAATTACAACATTATTATATCATTAGACTTAAGTTTCTGTGACATTCTATTAAATTTGTCTTTTCATTAAAATGACTTTAATTTAATTTTTCGGTTTGTCTCATTTTCCAAATTTGAAACATGTCAAGTTCTTGTTTCGAAATTTATTTATTTTTGTATTAGCTGAAAATTTGTTTTCGGAACTATACTTTAAGGGTCTGTCCCCTGCTTCTGAAATCATTGCGCGTGTTTAGTCTCGGTCTCTCATTCCAGATGTGAAGTGCTTCTAATTTCAGTAGCTTGACGTTGGTGTTAGCTTGGTCTATAACCTTTCAAGACTTTCATGCTCTCGTGCGCTCATTTCCACACTGCCATAGATGCTGTCCTATACTGAGTCCTCCTTTCGGCGTTGTCAATTCTAGCGGTTTGATGTCGAACCTTTCGGCCAACATGGGTGGATTTAGATTCACAACGTGAAGTTTTGAAAATCACTTTTATTTTCAGTTCAAGCGAAGAAGAAGTTTCTAAGGCAAGTTTTCAGCTCTCTGCTGCTTAAAAAAAATTGATACTTCGATTGTATTCCGCATCTTATATGCAAACACTGCGCAACTCTTGAACTTAGGAAGTGGCCCTGTATCAGTTGATTTAAGATACCATCCGCAGATTAGGTTTTAACGTGTGTCCACAATAAAGTTAATGTCAAGAAAGACTAATTTGCCTTTCTCGTTAGTCTTTTTGGAAGCAATCTGTAGATTGGGTTGTAATTGATTTGCAGCATTTGATAACTGTTCTGAATCTGCTTTCACAGTTCTCACGATCTCATCTACATATCTCAGAAAGAGTTTTTTCCTTAACTCATAACATGCCGAGCAAAACCAAACAACTTTAGCTATGTTTCTATATTCGATTTCTCGAAGCTTGCCACATTTTGATGAAAACAAGTTAACAATTTTCACATACACCACTCTTCTGTCTATACGTATCTTTTTCCTTCACTCTGAACGGATGCCATTTAGATCTTCAATTGGCTTGCAAAATTTGGGATTTTTTCCTCAATACAGTTTCAAATTCTTTCATCCTCAAATTTACCAGTATGGCTGCAGGAGAGGCTCCCATAGCCAAACCATCCTTATGTGTATACCAAATTACATTTCAAATATAGTGTACTTGACCTACAGCAAGTTTTAGCAATCTCTTCATATTATTGCGTGCAATCTAGCACTAGTTTCGTTCTTTAGTATCCATCTTAAAAATGGTGGGGGAGAAGTGTGGAGTTCATCACTTAGCAGACTACGAGGAATGAAACTTACGGAGCACAAAGCAAAGAACAAACACAACAACACTAACAATTTGATGAAATACCATCCACTTGATCCCTTCTCTTCCGTTTCGCTGGTGCCTTCTTACTTCTCTGCGAGGGTCTGGTTTGGGCTGATCTTGTCTTGTCTATCAGTTCCAGTATATTTCCCTGATTCTCCACTACCAGCCTGAGTGACTTCAACTCCAGCGCACTATCTTGCTGAAAGTCCAAATTTACTCTCACGAATTCTGGCTAAAGTTTTCACTTTCTCTTCTATAGGAGGTACTTGGTCACCGGAATGAACAAAATGCTCGTGCTGCGTATCAGTGCTTCCTCGATGTGGGCAGGCCTTCCTCTATCAATATACTTTCGTCCCGATTCCTGTACTTCTAGTTAATTGGATAATCTTCTGTGCAGCTGAATCTAGAGTTGTTTGATCTGTGGCTGCTAATTGAATTGTCCACACCACAATGTCTTCTTTGACAGCGATTTATCTATAAATTAACATAATATTAAGGATAAATCGCTTGTGAACGCAAGTGAAAATGACGCATTTGAACGACTGTAGCAAATGTGACGCAAGTGAACGCCTGCCTCTAAAAAGGATTTTTTTAGAAGTTGGGTTCCCGTTTCATATTACGTTCGGCTCAAATCAGTCATTCTTCTTCGTATCGCAAGCGGTGCGAAGCTCAGCTTAGCCTCTGTGAAGTAAATATTTACCAAAACGGTCTTTGAAAGAGATAACATGTGAATTTGCGTTTAGTTTTGCCAACTAGTAGAATTTGGATTTTTTAAGCTTTTTTTGATGGAAAGTTGTTTATCTCTGACTACCGTTTTTTTTCAATGGAAATAAGTTCGTTTTTTGACAACTTCTTTTTCAAATCAAGCTTCTCATTTTTTTTATGAAAAGAATTGAATAGAAATATGTTAGATATCAATATCAGTATCTTACTTACAAAAGGCGAGCTTTTACAAATGCATTAGGCTACCGACAGCGTAATCAACGAACAAAGCAAATAGTATTTGATAACATCTGTTCGACTGCTTCTCTGCAAAAATTTTTTTTCATCTGGCGTCAAAAAAATGGAATTCGTTGCCCAGTAAATTACGAAATTTTGGTATTACCACATCTACGTTCAAGTAAAAATTAAAAGAGTTCTACACTACTGAAATGAAATCTAATCCTTTATATACGCTTAGAAATAAATGGCGTGAATTTCGTTTTCATTATTATTATTATTTTCATATTATCATTATTAACTGATTTACAGTTATATGTTAGTTTTGACAATGTTTTAATAATTTTACGTTTACAAATATTTTTTACTGCACATTTTCTATCTTGAATTGATGATTTTATTGATGTAATAATTTCATCTCAGTTTATTCAAACATAGGAGTAACTAATCTGATTTTGTAACTAATAGTAACTTTACACTCTTACTATACTAATGCAACGACTTTTGTGTATAGTAATCAAAGTGATGTTTCTTCTTGAATACCTTGAATTATCCGAAACTGTGATCTTATCTCTTGGGAAACTTATGAGAAAGAATCCGTTTTTCCCGATTGATGTTTGTCAAATGGTTATTTCGCTTTAGTTGAATTTGTCCAACTATACATTTTCCTTGTTCATTATATTTATGAGCCTTGTCAAATATTTTCCTTCGCTTGCTACCCCTCTGAATAGAATTAGTTGCTGAACATCGTTTCTTTTTTAAAAAGCTTGTAAAGTAGCCTGAACAAAATCGGATGTTCTTTTTTTAAAGATAATGGGTGCTGCCTGTGGCAAAGGCCACACTTTGAATGAGGAAGATGCACCCTACGAAACGAAAGGCTCATTAAAGAAACCTGTGAGTCCTGACAGACAAAAAGACGATGATGCGGCTGAAGTCATTGAAGAAAACGTTGTCGTCCAGGAAAGTAAAGGTGATTTGAAGTCAGAAGTCAAAAGTAGTGCGATTAAAGTGCAATTCCCCGAACATCAAGACATTAAAAAGTATATCGACCCCGAAACTTCGGAAACCTGCTTCGTCAATGAAATTGAAAGTGCCACAGTTGTAGCACAAAAAAGTAGTTTCTATATCCCATCTGTGTTTCACTACACTTATGGATTGAGTTGCTGCTCCTGCAAGCTCTCGCTGAACGAATCATGCACTGTGATTTTTGGTTTCACCTATCACCAGAGCCCACGCTGTCTGTGCTGTAGTGTGTGCAATGCTCCCCTTACAGGAATCAAAAAGAAGTCAGATATCACAATATCATCCAACGGACAGTTATTTTGCGCCGAATGTTCCGTTAAGGATGCACCGCTCGTCTGTGCCGCGAGCCACGAAGAAAGTAAGTTAATGTGTTCAATATTGCGCGATCTTTGCTCATTGCCAATTATTTCCAGCTATCTTAATCGAGGTGTTTCTCTGCAAAGTGCAACCAAACCATAATATTCGCTGATTCTTTTGTTTTAGTTAACGAAGAAGATCTAGATTTCACAGAAATAGCAGTTGGAAGGCGATTCAAATCAAATAATCTGAAATGCAGTATATGTCAGTTGCCACTGTCTAATACAAAAATATTTAAAGACGAAAAACTTTTCTGTGGCAACTGTTACACCGAAAATGTGGCACCTACATGTCATCAAACCGGTCGAAAAATTGTCGGCCGAGCTCTAAAAGTGGGCGAAGAAGTTTATCAGATCGATGCAGTAAAATGTCCGAAATGCGGGTTCAAAATGTGCGACAATGAGAGTGTTTATCTAGTGCAAGGCCAGCCTCCAGTTCACATGGACTGCTCTAAGAGCGTCAGTAGCGAGTTTTACAAAATCACAACCGACGACGAGGCTCTGTTTTCCGCATTCGAAGATAACGGATCAGATTCAGACCGCGGAGGCCATATGTCAGATTCGAGAAAACAAAAGCGAACAGATTTCAGTTACTCCTCTATAAACACTTCTTTCAGCTCCTTGCCCTTTTCCAGAGTAGACAGACCAGAGACTATAATACCCCCAGTGTACAGGTTAAAGAATGCAAATCAGTACATGGGAAGTTACCTGAAGCCGGAACGAGACACCAAAACAAAACCTGGAAGTGTTTCTTTGGGCAGTCAAAACGGAACAGTCCACTCTAATGGAACAAAGGCGGTTTTCAATTCAACAATAGGAATCGATAAGAAAAGTAAGTCAGTGCCAGCTATGCTAGTCTTTCGTACGATTACCACGCTTCCAAGCATATATGAACTGCTTAGCATTTTCGCGAGGTTTCGGCTTAAGCTCAAATTTTAGTTAAAATAGCGTAGAGGAGAGCATCATGTTGTGGTGCAATTTGTTAACCTTTCTCATGGTAGATATAGCATCTCTTAACTCCAAATGCGAAGTGTCCTCCATATAGGAGAAAAGGGTTAGCTGTTGGTTTTTAAATCTTAATTAATTATTTCAAGTGCGTGGGGAGGGGGGGGGGGGGGGGGGTGGTCAGGTAGTGTATTAGTATGTTTCTACTTTTTTTCCCAACCTAACTCGCAAACAAAAAACTCTCTCATTTGGGGGCACATTTGCTATAATCACGATCTGTAACATGGGAAACTTCATAGCATCTGTTTTCTGCCTCGTATTTAGCTAGTGTTAGATGATTGTTAGGTGTAATCTCGAGGTTGTAAGTTCGAATCCGACTTTACCAATGTTTTACTAATTCGAGGATTATTTCTACTTTTTCTTATTTCCCTTTACAGAGCCTCTTTTTCTCGATAGTGTTTGCGAAGCGCAGCTTCGGCTGTGTTGAAAACTGCTTAGAAAAAATTGAAAAATTTTTTCATTATAATCGTTTTGACGTCCTGTAATGATGAGTCCAGGAATTAAATACGGTTTTAAATTTTTGGATTAAAATTAAATTTCTCATATAAATTTCTCGTATACGGTTTAAATTTCTCATATACGGTTTTAATTCGTTTTTTTTTGGAAGTTTGTGTTGTCTTCTCTTTCTTTTGCAGTGACACGGAAGCAGTGAATGGAACCTTGTTGTAAATTTTTACGCTTGTACATATCAAATTGTTGGCATCAGGATTTTATTTGTTTCCTTAATTTTGACTAAAAACCCGATTTTTCTAGTTTTCACAAATCATTCCTTTGCCGCATTTAAATTTGTGAAATGAGTTTTCATGAATCAAAAATGTGTTTAGTTCGTCCTTTCTCTTGAATTATTTTGAAGTCTTAGTTTCACGTTGATTTTCTTAAGTTGTCAATTTATGCAAAGCTCTTCTTCGCCTCTCCTTGATATTTCACAGCGGAACAAATCTAAAAACTCTTTAAAATCAGCTAACAGTTGCTTAAATGGTTTTTGGTTGTAAATCTGTCACCGCGGATTTTCTATTGTCGGCTCATTTTTTGTTATGTAGCTGGCCATAAGATGTCAGCTCGTTGTCCATAAGTCTCATATTACGTTGAGTAGTTAACTAGGGTTTCTGCATGTTTTTAGAGTTTCTGCTGCTAGCGGTGTTCCTCGAACCTGATTTTCATGACCTTCCACTTGATTTTTAGTAGTATTACTTTGAGTCCCATAGGGTTTGTGAGGTATTTTCCAGTCTATTTGCTAGTCTCGTTGTTTTGAAGATAAACTTTTTTCTTGCCTTTTTTGCTTTTTTTCTGTACTTCCATATTGGTCTCCTAGTAGACCGAAATCCATTTCAGAACTTTTCTTCGAAATTTTTCTAATAACAATTGGTCCCTTGTGTTCACGTGCACACAAACTACTCCGTAAAACAGGACAAGTAAAATTAATGACTTATAATGTCCTAATTTAATAATTGCCGTGACTCATTATTTCTCAAGTAATGAAACACTTTGTTCAGTTTCTTGTTTCTGTATAGGTTGACCAGGGGCAGATCTAGGTTTTTCTTGAAGGGGGGCGGATTTTCAAAAAAAATTGATTTTCTGAGCTCTCCTAAATCACCAAAAAGACCTTATTTTGACTGAATTTTCTGCGCTGCAGGCAAAATTTTGAAAAACAGGCAAAAAAGCGTTTTTAGGCACTTTTTTTTGAAAATGTTGACCAAAAAATCGCGTTTAGTAAAAATTTAGGGTCCGTCAGCCAAAAATGGAAATCTCAAAATAGTACAAAGGGGGGACCCTTTGGGTCGGCAGGTGGTCGAATCCCTGACAGGGAGGCGTCCGCACCCCTCCCTAAATCCGCCCTTGAGGTTGACCAATTTAGGTTACTGTATATAGTTATTCCTAGATCTTTTATTTCCTTGGATCTGTCGAGCGTAGTGTTGCATATTTCAAAGTTTTTATTAGTGACTCCTCTAAACACCATTTTTGCGCATTTGTCAATTGCTCGTTCCATTCTGTTTGCGTTTAACCCCTTTTCTAGTTATTCCATATCCATTTAATTTTCTGTTTGTTTTCTATTAATTGCTAAAATTTTAAGACCGTCGGAAAAAATGTACGGATCACTAATTCCAAATATCTGGCAAATCGTTTAAAACAATGCAGAAAAGCCTGACCGAGAAGTGATTCTTGGGGCACTCCGCTTGACACATCTCATATTTTTGAACTGGAATTTTCGATTCTGTCAAATTAATTCCATTTATTAAGCTAATCATGTAAAACTTCAAAGTAACAGTCCCCTACTCCAATTTTGCTCACTTTGCACAGATGTTCATAATAAGTATGGTACTCGGTCGAATGCTTTGGAAAACTAGTAAAAAAAAAGGCAACGACTTCATTGCTTGCATTGTTGTGAATTGCAATGTATATTTTTTGGAGAAAAGAAAGCATGTTTTATGTCTTTGATCTGTTTTTACCGAAATCGTGCAGATTTTTGGACAACACTGTTGTAAAATTTTCATAAGGCTGCTATACAAACATTTCTCTAACGTTTTGCTCATAATGTTCAGAAGTGAAACACGTCTGTAATTTTTAATAAATCTGTCTCTTTGTTCAAAAATGTTGATATTGCTGCAATTTTCTCAATTTGCTTCCATCCAGATCTATTAAATTTTCGTTAATTGCTTTTTGCGATATGCTGAGATTTGTCAAAGTTGCTTTTGTTTCTGATCATTGTTTTTGGCAAAATTTCTGCTCTGTTTAAGCTTTTAAGATGCCTGAATATAAGATTTGTACTTCCTGCAGACATTATTTTTAGTTTTTGCTTAAAAAACCGACTTCTGATCGTTTGTTGTTTTGTGGTTTGCACTGTACATGTTCCTTTCAAAGGACTATGATGAAAATTTTTAAATCTTGTTGTTACCAAGAGTTTGCTATAGGATTTTTAGCTTTTCTATAAAAACGTTGTTCACGAGAGTTTTTCTTTTTTTCTCAGCAATTTAAAGAACTTATTTTTCTATTTATCCGCTACAAAATTCTTTTTGTTCCGACTTTCGATACGAAAGTAACGGAATATTTGTGCTCGGGGTGGGTTTTTTTTTTCTTCAGACAAATTTCGACTTTTTAACTAGCAATTTTTGATGGAGTTTTTTAATATCATTCAAAAGGTATTGTTGTCCTGAGCTTAAATTTGAAAAGATATTTCACATGTGATCATTTTTCGTAAAGTTATGAGGGTTTAAAGATTGCCATTTTGGCCATTTTGACCAATTTGGGACAATTAACGCGCGATATAATTCGAGCTATTAACGCGTAAGCGGAGATTTAATCCTTCTTATAAATCGTTCCAAATTGGTTGAACGAAGCTGATTTGCCATAATTGATTTGTTACAAGGAACGAAATCTATCTTTTTGTACTTTAAATGGCGTGTGGGGGGATGATTTTCATAAAAAATTTCAAATTTTAGAAAAAAAATTTCATTTTATTTCATTTTTTTTTAATGTTATTACTGCTGCTTCATAAACCTTAAAAGGCAGTCGGAACATTCAGGGCTTCGCCCTGATATGAGTAGTCTTGTTTTATATAAAAACTTAATTTTCGAATTATTTTGTCTGCATTTTTCGTGTTCCCACAGCGGGTGCTTCTGACTTCACTTGAGAATTTTGAAAACAGAGCAAGTGTTTTGCAATCGCTCTGCTTTTAGCACAGTGAATTACTCAATAGATTTTTCCAATATGAGCGGTAAAATTTTTAAAATGAAATATCTTAGGTCGCTTTCAGTCCTAGTTTTGTTGGCTTTGTTACTAATGTTTTCTTCTTCTAATGTTGTCACTAGACTTTTTTTCCTTAATTAATTATGTTCACAGTATGATTGAATTTGTGGTGATCTCCATCTCTACCCTTGTGAACGAACAGACAGGTGGAGAAAAGGCAAATTTTTGGGACCTAAAAACTTTTTGAGATTGTAAGTTTTTATAATACAGACTTTTTTTTCGGCGCAACGTGTCGGCTCAAAAATTGTTGAAGGATTTAAATGAAATTGCTTCAAATAAACTTTCCTTTCAGTTTTATCTAATTCTTCACTTAACATGTTGTTAGGCTCCATAAAGTCATTTAGTTCCTTTTTTTCATCTCTGAGATTATGATGTAAGACGGTTTAAAATTATCTTTTTAGCAAAGAATTTTTTATACTTATTTACCGTTTAGGTGCAGACACTTGGTGGATCCGAAGATCCCGTTGTCTGTCCCCTCCAAGTCTCGGAATTGGTTATATTTGTTTAAAAATTGTGACATGTTTATAATCGGAGAAAAAAAATCTTTTTTTTCTTTCTTGTATCTGTCAAAAACTGATTGTTAAAAATTGATCTGATATCAATTTTAGAATAAAAACTCTATTTGCTCCTAAACTGTTCCTCCTGGGTGGAATTTGCTGTTAGAGCTTTTTTTACCCGTCACTAACGTTTTGGGTGTGGAAACGAACCTATGGATTAAAATTTTTTTGCTCTGCCCGATAATGACTTTCTCGAAGGAAGCGTGTTAACTCAAATTTGGAGTTATGAATGTCTTCAAGTTAACTTTCTGGAGTTATGAATGTCTTCAAGTTAACTTTCTGGAGTTATGAATGTCTTCAAGTTAACTTTCTGGAGTTATGAATGTCTTCAAGTTAACGTATTTAAGAGTAATGAACATGGTGAACATAGTGAGTACTCTTATATAGGTCTTTGTGACTTTTCGTGTTTTTTTTTTCAGGAAAAAGTCTTAAAATTTGTTCACTTGTTCACGCTCAATTTTGATTTTTCGCGGTTTGATTTTTGATTTCTTTTTGAGTTCATTTCTCATTTCCTTAGTTAGAGGGA